TTGCTCAGTCCATTGAGCTTCGTGGAGTTGTTGTTTGTTGAGGTACTCCTCCTCAACTTGTGAGGTCCGTCCCACATGATTCTCCCTCTGGAGAGCCGGGACTTATCCCTCCTAGATAATTGTCTCATTAGAGCAACATCTCTCTTCGTTTCGGAGACCACCATCCCCTTGGACTACTCCGATCTGCTGAACAAACTGTGCATTGTTCTACCTTCTGCAAACACCCTTGCTAGATTGCGACTCCACATCAATACAACCCCCGCTGCACCACTCAAGGCTTAGCAACATGCTGAACTCGTTGCACACTTCAGCCTCCTACGGACGTATCCTTCACATGCAGAAGAGAAAGTTTCAATGCTCCATGGCGCCGAGTTTCGGTCGCCTTGGGATGGCCGCGAACATTCCGTCGTCCGCATATAAGCCTATGCATGAGTACCGAATTCTTTGAGTTAGCAATTCACCTCACCTCTGTGAGCTTTGCATAACTCTTTCGGTCGCTAAGCAACTCATTCTACCTTGGATGGTCTCATCCTTTACCAAGCGCCTCGCTTGCCTTGGGCACCATCAAGTATAGTTGTTAACGTTGAGTCGTAGCTCAAACTCAGCCATCCCAACCTTTGTACACTCCGCATTCTTCTAAGCTTATCTGTTCTCGTGGTGCCTCTTGCGCGAAGGGTTGGCCATTCCTTTGAATGCCAATCTCAGATGCCCGCTCCTCCGAGTGACTCCTTTTCCCTACATCTCCATGCTCGTTTTCCCCCAAACGGTCACGAGTGTGCTGACTGCCCTCAACGCAGCCCCGCTAGGTCCCCCACGTTTGCATGATAAGTGTTTCTATGAGTGCTTGTCCCGCTCTGATACCATATGTCATGGACTTAGCTGGTTTTGCCTAAGTCGTGCGGCACCCTTGCATGTCCGTCCACAAAGGTCAGCCTCCCCGAAGCCTCCCATGTCCCTTAGGACCCACAAAATAGAGAACGAGTTAGAGAAAACGCCTCATTCGGGATCCACAAGTAAACATATCCGAAAACACTTCATAGACAATGCAAATTACAAACAGACTTTACAAGCTCTGAACAGTTGCACAACAAAGGATCAAAATGGTCCATTACAGACCGAAAATCTCTCACACGTGTCCACATGACACAACCTTTATTTACAAGCCTAAAGCGGCCACCAACCTAACTAAAATGAGACTATTAAGCCTTCGACCGTCCCTCTACATACTGTACAAAGCATGAACATACCAAAAGACACGGACATACATAAGAATTATATCAAACATCTTGTTTAGCAGTTTGTCCGTGAGAATGTGTCATCTGATTTGATTTTTGTTATTATTGTGGTATGTATTAAATATAATATATTATTTATTAAAATATTATTATTCATGACATACAATTATAATAAATGTTTGAATAAGTATGCATTATGTATAATGATATGATAGGCATCAATATATGATTAATTCATGTTGATTATGAATCATTTATTGTGAGTATATTTATGACAATATATAATCTATTAATCTTGTTAGTTGATGTCCTATTGATCCATGTTGTAATTACTCGTATTTATTAATATGAGATCAAAATATTGCTATATGCTTCTTTTGAACTCTAGCTTATTCCCTACTTGGTATTTATGCTTAAAAAAAAAACAGTTTTGTTTGAAGATAGCATCGTATCGAGAGCAAACGCTAGAGAATTATTCGAGATGAAGATAGATTTTATAATTATAAATATATTAATTTACAATAAAAAAAACTATTATATAAGAGGAGATTTTGTTTCTGCGTCGATCGATCTACATGAAACCTGAGTTAGATCATTCGGAATTTGACAATGGTCCTACAGTATTTTAGGCAAGGCATCTGACTTCAACTCCAGCTGCTGCTGCTGCTCCTGCAAAGTATATCTCGTAGAAGCATGGTTCACTTAACTCTGGCTGCGGCTGCGGCGTCCTGCAGAATATATTTGGGATTAACACGAACGAGATTCTATATTGCGTTATCATACACGAGGGACAAGCAGTAGTCCTATATCAAGCGATAATAAAGATCTGGTCATACACCCGTTAGCGTAAGGAGAGTCCGACGACGACGATATGCAGGTGACCGACTGTAGCTCTCGTCAGGACGAAATGAATAACTACGGCGTCCATCTGAAATCAATGACGATGCAGGTTTCCAAGGATCCACATAACCATATCCTGTTCTGTGCTACTTACTTGGTCAAGGCAATCCTATCTCAGATGACACGCCTGTTAGCATGAGGAGAATCTTCACGGCAATATGCCTGTGATCGACTGAGGCGAATAGCTTCGGCGAGGATCAGGATATCTTTCTACCTCGCGGACTGCAACTCCTGGCGACACAAAAGATGTTCCACATTTTTGAAGTAACGAGGAATGATACGAATCACCTGACCCTACATGTTTCTCTGGTGTTATTCTCTTCCTACTTTGTAACAACTTCAAGTCCAAGTAAAAAACATCATCAATTTGCCGCTGCTATTTCTACAACCGGAAGAGAAAAGATTCATGACATTCTTATGCTTTTATTTCTAATATTCATCGTTTAATTTGGTAGGATGTTCTTAATAAAGAAAATATTTGGATGCGACATGCTTGTGCTTGTTACTGTACATGTTATCATACCACATGTCAGTAGGTCGGCATATATTGAACCATATAGGTCTGATCGAGGACCAGCACAGATCCAGTATGCAAAATGAAAAACCATGATTGCCCGGATGATGATCAAAAGATGTCTTCTCATAAACAACATATTTTATTTTAATCTCCCCCCCCCCCCCTTACATCTGCAATCTTAATGAAAATCACCCATACAGATGGTAAATAATTCCTTCAACCAAACTTCTTCCAAGAGGTTTTGGAACAAAATCTCTAGTAGTCTTTCACAAAATATATATACATATACAGTAAGAATCTGGTGTTTATTACAAAGAAATGTTACATTTGTCCAGTAATATTCAGACTGATTCTATCTTGACTTGAAAACAAGCATATATGCACGGGAGAGGCCAAAAACATAAACATTTTACAGCATTTAATGGTCCTTGCATCAACAAATCTTCTTAACCAAAATCTTACACCCGATGGTGAACACAAGGCAACATTTTACAGCATTTAATTTCCATCCATCTATAGCCCTAATTGCTGAAGGTGGCTCTGAAATCTTCTTATGCTTAGACTGTCGGGTGGTCCCTTCTCTCGGTATATGCTAGCTAGAGAGAGTGCAAATCTCAAACAGCATATGAACAAATAACAGGCAACATCTGTGAGATTTCGACTGTCATCCAAATTGAGAAAGAAAATATAAGGTATGCTCCAGACACTAGATTGCATACACTCAGCCTGAAGGAGGTAAATCATATTGGTCCCTTCTCTCAGCATATGCTAGCAAGAGAGATTGCAAATCTCAAACAGCATATGAACACCTAACAGGCAACATCCATAAGAACTGATATTTCGACTGCCATCCAAATTGAGAAAGAAAATACAAGGTATGCTCCAGACAGTAGATTGTGTACACTCATTTGCCTGGAGGTAAATCATATTCGGGTCCCTTCTCTTGACATATGCTAGCTAGAGAGATTGCAAATCTCAAACAGCATATGAACGCCAAACAGGCAACATCCGTAAGAACTGATATTTCGACTGCCATCCAAATCGAGAAAGAAAAAATAAGGTATGCTCCAGACACTAGATTGTGTACATCTTTTGCCTGAAGAAGGTAAATCATATTCGGTCTCTCTTTTGATTTAACCATCCATTCTTTGGGGAAGATATTCTCCCATAACCTGCTTGCCTCATCATCTCTGCAAGAAAAAAGAGTAATGGTCCACTTATAATGCCAAATAAATCCAGATAATAAAGATGGGGATCATATAAAGTACCTCTTTCCCTCTCAAGTTCTTGATCCAGCTCTTCTTTCCATTTCCTCCGTCTCTCCGAAAATTTGTCACTGTTGAGAACATGCTTCTCATTTTAGGAATTTGGTAGCCTAGGAAGCCAATCTAGTGCTAAACAGCTAAATTTAGACCATCTAATTCAGAATTCTTAACAGAAGGCAACACATATGAGATAATTTTCAACAGAAGTGTCTTTATCAAACCTTGGGCAATTTGGTTCCTGTTGAGCATCTTGAAGAAGACCTCCCCTTTCATTAAACTTAGGTGAAATTTCTCTTAGGACTTGATCATTCTCTTCCCCACTATTTGAGACTCGTCTGCTGCAATTTTCAGAACTCACCCTATTAGCTGTGCCAACAAGTGGAACAGTCTTCCCGCTTATATTCTTGTTGGGTGAAGTCTCGATCTTGGGAGGAAATTTTAAATTTTTGGTCATATTTTCCTCACTTTTCTTTCCAGCACATGTCTCATTGTTGTTATTTAGGCTATTAATGAACTCCTGGTAGAGAGGTGTCTGCAACTTCTTCAGATCAAGGGCCTGTCCTCGTGAAAAGAAAATGTTCTTGATTATAAATCTCATCAAGTAAGACATGTGAAGCCATTTTCATGACCAAATGAGACCAAGAAGATGGAAAATCAAGATTAACTTCAAATCTATTATCCACAAAAGAAAAGAGAATGCAAGAGAAATAAACAGGTTACTAAGAGTCTACCTTCTCATCCAGAAAAGCTCTTATTTTTGACTCTGTAACTTCATCATCATCTTCAGGAACTAACTTGCAAGGAAATGTAAAATCCTTTTCCCCTTTTCTAGTGCATGAAACATCGATGAAAGATTCACTTAAGTCATTGAAGTCCATTTTTTTGTGCTTTAAATTGATATCAAACTCATTTGACCAGTCATCAAAGGGCTCAGATATTGGGTTGAAACTCTGGAGAATCAAAGCATCAAAGTAACCAACAAATACCAATAGATACTATCTTAATTATATGTAAGCATTTTATAATATCTCTCACATGACTCTAAATTGCGACTTACTGATCCAACAACTGGAAAATCATCTTTATCGTCCAACCGGCACATATCACTACTAGTACTCATGTCCCATATTGGTCTCACAGAAGAAAGCTTTCCACGAAAGAAAGTAGAGCATCTTCCGCTGCCGCTACCACTACCACAGCCACCTAAGTCCAATCCCTCACAACAAGTTCTGTTGTCAACCACTAGAGTATTGCTGCAATAGAGCCTCTCCAAAGTCAAATATTGAAATTAACTGGTAGTCTAAAAGAAATTAGTGCTTGCTTACATGCTTTTCATGTACAATTTGGATGGCAGGGCTGCATCTTTTGTGGATTCCTGATATGGCAAGTGTGTCAGGGAAGAAATATTGTAAAAGCGGTAGGACACGAACTTTTTAAGATGACTAGCTTCCACATGGAGTGAACTAACCGCAAGTGCAGAGTGGTGTATTGGATGCATATCCTGAAATTCCTTGGTAACAAAAGCATGCTGCATGAAAGTTTAAATAGAAGTAAATAACATATGAGATAACAAATGATAACTTCAGGATCAACAGTACCTGGAGCAAATCAGATGCAGTGGGCCTCAGATTTGGTTCCCTGTAAAAAATTACATGTTAGACTCCCAGAAATCTGGCAAGGAACACAAGAGAAGTAAAAAAACCAAGCAAAGAAGAAAAATGCACGAGCTAGGAGTCTTGAAAAAGATGTATATTTTTAAGGCATTCACATACCCAATTGTCAATACTAGTAGCTTGTTAATCCAGTAAATGTACTTGAAAATAGTTTTCATGTCACTTTTTTTCTTTGAATTTTTTTAATATTTATAATTTTTGCAGCTTTAACAAATTATTAGCACACAATTAATGTAATGAGAATTTTGCAGTCTTCACATGGCAGCCTGTGGAGATCCTTGGTTTTTGCAACAAGTTCACTATGAACCAAAATTAACTTTGTTTCCATCTGGTATTCGACAGGCATTAACAGAGAAGAGTCTAATTATGCACAAATTAGTCTGGTTGACCAATTTCCCCTGGAGCAGCATCAAGAAAATAACTTTGAAGAATAACTCCAGAAAATAAATGGAATAAAAATGCCAAACCATCAAGAATGCAAAAAGAAAGAGCGTACTTCTGTAAGCATTTCAAAAGAAAATCCTTTGCCTCCAAAGAAAGATGTTCTGGTATAGGAGGATGCGATTTGGTTGTTCCAATGTGGAAAAGAGCAGCAACCTGGATCATAATTCAGTTTTTACCAGAGAAGGAATGGTAAAGGTATAATTGGGCAGTTTATGCACCCAATCAAATTTCATCAGGACAGTGGGAAAAGCGTACCTCTTGATATTGCTGACTCCAGGGAGGCTTACCTGTAGCCATCTCTATGACAGTGCAACCAACACTCCATATATCAGCTGAGCTGAGAAAGTAGATAATCTTTCAGAAATTATATCTAATCCAAGCACAAGTGCATCATTATAGAGAAAAGAGTAACGGAAATTCAAATTAGCAATCACAATGCTGTTCATGTTGGTAAATGGGATCATATCCCTAGAAAACACATGCTTGCAATTACATCTGAAAAGGCAGATAAAATTATAAAAAAGTACAGGAATGGGAATAAAAATCATGAATTAGTTATTAATATAATTTGTGGCTTTAAGCTTTAGTAATCTGTTAGACCAATTAAAATGAAGTTCACACTAGTTTCATATTGCAGTTGGCAGCTCAATTTTGCCCAACAAAAGCAACTAGCATCTTTTGATGCTACAAAAAGAACCTGCTAGCAAAAGAGAATTAGGAAAATAATAGATAAAAACAAAATTTAGTCCTATCATGCAAGATCAAAACTGTGCTTCTGGAATTACTAGCAGTACACTGACTGAATATAGAATTGACAACAATTTTAAGGTTAATGTCCATTTAAGGACAGATTGGTAGAGAACCAATATGCAGAAGAAATGCAAGAACCAAGCAGGCCTTCTACCAGAAAAATTGCAGGAGGAAATTAGATAGCAAAAAATTAATGCGTAACTGTGTATAATATGTACCAAAATAGTTAGTAGTATAATCTTTTAAGCAATAATGCAAGAAAACAGAAAAGAGAAGCATAAAATACAAACACCCCTTCCAAAATACAAATCTAACTACTTTGCCATAATTATGCCTGTTCTAAAATGTCTCATTTAATCAGGTTATAACCATGACAAACCCAAATGCTCATCTAATATGAAGAATAATGATCCCAAACATGGATATAATGAAATCCATTATTACTGTATAAGCAACTACGCGAAACTACTTTACATGCTATACAGGTTGGTTTCAAGGCATAAACAGATGCCAAACATGAGAATATTGTGGCTCAGCTATGTAGGTTGGTTTCAGAAACTCATTGGCATACATTCATTTGTTATTATTACACAGTTGTTCTACGATCATCCTGTTTTTTGCAACAGAACCAGATAGCTCTGCTGATAGTTAATGATAAATATAGACTTGTTCTGGCCAATATGCTTTCCATATTTGCCTTATATGTACAGGATTATACAGACTTACACAATGGCAGCAAAAGATCCATGTAGACAACCCAAACAGTTGAGACATTATGAATAGTTGTTATTGTTGTTGTTGTAGCACTATAGGATTGTGAAAAGAATGTCATTTCCCACCCTGTACTTAGATCACCAATGCCATAAAATTTAGTTGCATGGTGCTGGTATTCATTAGTATCCATTTCAGATTATAGAAGAGAGAAAAATGATATTTGCATCCTGAATTATTTGATATTTATTATAAAAAAATAAAATCAAATATGATATTCACAACTAAACAAGTTTCAGAGAGAACATTCAAACAAAAGAGCAATCTCTGCCAAAATAATCAAACTCATGCAGAAAGGGGAAACACGATCATTAAGGCATTATCTCCAATATCTAAAGATATGGATTCTCATGAAGTAAAGTTAGTTATATGTATTTCGTGTCCTTATTTTACACTCATATAATGCAAATATTGAATTCAGTTATCTACTTAAATGTGTAAACTCTGTTTACAGCAACCGATGAAATAACTTCAGTAATAATGTTTATTTAAATATTTCTCAAAACAATGTACAAGATAAGCTCCGCAAAAACTATTACTGTCCAACATATATCTAATCATATACACAAATTAAAGAGGAAACAGGTTTTGTTAATTTCTTCAGAGCTAGGAAAAGGAAAAAAAAATGGAGAAGCCAAAATGTTCTGGAAAAGCCAAAATTCTTCATGCAATGAAGTGAAAACAGAAAAGGAATGTACATCTAGATATCTACTGATGCTAAAAAGAAAAAGGTGGAAAAATTTTATGCTTACAAGCTATGCCCAGTCTGAAGAATTACTTCTGGTGCCATCCAGTATGGAGTACCCTTCATTGACTTGGCTGCATTCATAGTTGCCTAACAAAATTTTATGCTCATAAGTAAACAGTGAAATGGAAATCAGGTCTTACGACAGAAAAGAATATGAGAAGAACTTAGTGTGAGTAAATACTTCTCCTGTGCTGGAACAGAGTTTATCTAGTGCAAACTAATTGTGAAAATTTTAAGGCTATTTCACAAACTTGGTAAGCGGGTATTTGCCTGATAGGTTCATATCTTGTAGGTAAAGGATGTATTAAAGAAGAATATAAGAGGCAAAACGAAAGAGATGTGAAAAAGTGAAAAAAAAAAAAGATTAAACACTTATTTAACTTGCAATTGTAGGAAAGAAAAGCCTAAAATGACTGACATTAACTGATCACATCAAGATGCATTATAAAAATCCTTGACACATAATCTGATTACCAGCTGTTAAAACATATACTATTGGTTATGAGCATGATAGAATAATATAAATCATTTGGAAGTCTATTTACTGGTTCACTACAATGCATATCCAAGAGTAGAAGTTTGATGAGTTTAGAAATGTGTTGGTTTGAACAAAGAAGGAGCACATAGAGCATTGTATTTGGCAGAACGACTTTAATAAAGAGTATCACAAAGAAGTTCTCTGTTTTTCTTTCATACCAGCTTTGCAACTTGCTTAGATGCCCCAAAATCTGCTAGTTTTATGCAACCCTTGTTATCCACGAGAATGTTTGCACCCTGAATTGGTAAAATTTAACTACTTTCAGACGAAAAGTTAAACAAAGCATTCGAGCCAAAAGTCAAGAAAAATGCCATTCCTTAATGTCCCTGTGTATGATTCCATTTTGATGAAGATACTCAAGCCCCTGCAAGAGCTGCTTGGTATACATTCTTATAACCTGTTTCAAAAGGGGGACAATGTTAGCAAGCATCAGCATTTGTATCATTCCCCTGACCAGTATAAAAAACAGAGTTACTTACAGCCTCTGGGAAGGACCCAAATTTTCCAAGTAATGACGAGATGGATCCACCTGGGACAAACTCCAGCAAAATGTTTAATGTCTCGTCTTCCCTAGCTGTTCCCAGATATCTCTGTTACAAACCGGACAAGATCAAAAGGTACACCTAAATGAACAATACGAAGCAAGTAACTTCATAAAAAAAGGACTGGGTTGACATCAAATAACCTAAACAAAGTCACTCACCACAATATTTGGATGAGATAGGTTTCTAAGAAGATTTACTTCTTCCTCAAGCTCCTTTATATGAGCCTAACACCAAGTTAGGATAAACAAGAAATAAAAGAATCGTCAACAACAGAGTCAATGCTTTCTGAAATGGGAAAATGGGTTTTAACCAGACGAAAAGGGAATGATATGGAAAAATCGTAACTTGAGCTTTCTCCTTGGAAGCACCGCTAGTCCCCATCAAGACCTGCACACGAACACGCCCATGGATCAAGACGATCGCCAAATGAACGAAATCAAAGTTTCTAGGCATGACAACAGGAATTAACGAGCGCCTACCTGCTTCACGGCAAGAAGCTCCCCCGAATCGAGATTCATACCCATGTAGACATGGCCGAAGGCACCGCAACCGATGAGTTCGCCCTTTCGCCAACGAATGGGGGGGATATCGTCCGCCGGAACTCGGTGCGGCGGCACCGGCGGAGGGAGTTTGGGAGTGGACCCTCCGAACCCTAGACCCAGCCCGATCCTGGACTTCCTAAGGCAAGATCCAATCCTTTCCGCGATCCTTCTGCCCCCGCCGCCGCCGTCCTCGATCCGATCGGGGCTCGGATGGAACACGAGGGATCTACGCACCGATCCGAAGAGGCCTTGCATCTTCGCTTCTGCCGCGGCTCTTCTACGACCGCACCTGGATGCTGCTTGTGCTGATGGATCTCAGGGCCGTGCTTTGGATCTCATCTGAGGAGAGGAGCGGACAGAGATGGAGATTCTAAGAGAAGCGAGAGAGGCGACGAGACGGGAATCGAAGAATACGCTGCTGTGCTCGGCAACGGCAGTAGGCAGAGGACGAGAGCAGTTAGGAGCGGCTTTGTTAGTCGGGCGAATTTTTGGGGTCGACCTTTTTCAAATGCGATGTGATTTTTAGGTACCAAAATGCCCCTCATAGCCGTTACATGGATACAGGTTTAGCAATGGAATCGTTTTCTTTTATTTTTTTTAAATGTTTTTGCCCTATAGAATTATTTGTGAGCATATATTTATCTAATTATATTCACAAATTATACCAAGTCCCTTTAATAATATTGTCCTAATAGAAAGCTTGGGCCTCCAGTTAGCTCTAACTTCCCTTGTGGATTTTCACTATGTTCAATAATTGTTCCTTTTTTCTAAAAGAAAGAAAGAAAAAAAAAATGGGTATTTTCACCACTATTGGTCTGAGAATCTATATGCGAATTTTCAGGAGGATGGGTAATCTATAGTTCTTAAACGAGGCAAAGAACACTACATATTTATTTATTAAAAAATGTTTAAAGTGTATGGAGCTTATTTAGAAATTGAAAGCCTGGGGACATCAATTAATTTTCACGACAGGCCGATTAAACGAGTTTGGAGTGGAGGGGGATATGTGACATCAGAACCTTGGCCGTCAATTAATTTTTGGATTTGATCTCACCTTTGAGATCTGTGCGAGGGCATGCGGACGATGAGATCTCCGTCCAGTTGGTCATCATCCTCGCGCGGGAGAGAAGACGAGAAAAGAAACCCTCTGTCCAGCCCTGTGAGAAATCGTTATCGATCCAGCAAATAAACACATTACCTAAAATGATTCTGCCACTAATGTTAATGAATCTATATGTAACATTCAAAGCAGCAGCAGTCGTTGCTGAAACAAATAGAATATGACTATAATTACTTCGCATGAATGTTCAGTCCCTATAATAACTTCTGATTATGCACATCTTCTTACTCTAAAGAGGACTAATCATCACGACCTAATCTTCTACCAAGCCTCAGAATGTCACCCCAACGTACTCTTTTCAAGTTAATTACCAGTTACTGGTGACACGGCAGAGGCGGTTGCAAGAGGGCTCGGTGCAGCAATGCGGAGGGAAGAGACGATTCGAGAAACCAGCACAGCTTCATTACTGATCGCTCTCGTTGCTGCAACTTCTTCTAAGCGCTTCCATGTCAGTTCTCTCTTCTCCTGTGCTGCCTTCTCCTTTGTGTCATCTTGTTCAAATTTAAGCAAGCACTCGTTGAAAAGCTCTTGGTCTGCATCCAACAACAGTTTCCTCACATTCAGAGTTAGGCTTTGAACAGCCTGGTTCCAGTGGCTCCTGTTATTCCTCTCCAATGATGGGAAGATAATAGGCAGTACCACCTTCCGGTTCTGGATGATCAAGTTTCTTATGTGATCATTGTTCCACAGGAACAAAGCTCGCTCTGCTACCTGAACCAAGGGACAGTTTAATATAATTCTTAATCCACCAGGAATATTGCCAGCATATAACAAAAATGCTTATTCCCCTAAATTTTCTACTGGATGCAAGTTACACCTTTATAGAGGGTTCAAAATGCAGAATTGATTACAGCAACCCTAATTTATCTGGGCCCTAAGAGTATATATTTAAACTTCATCAAGATGGCATGCTGTGGAATAGAGATAATGATCACAACTTATCACAGAAACATCTATGTTCTCTGTTTGTTGAATGCTGAATTTGATTGTGAAAGTAGGAACGTGCATGAATATGGAAATCAATTTGGTAATTAACTAGTGTATAACTAAGAATGAAAAATAGCAAAGAACTTAAAACTGCCAAAAAAAAAAAAGTTGAAACCAGAATTTATTCTAATATAGCACTATTATAAGAGAGAATGAACATATGCTCTGGAGACCTACATAGTTAGAAGAGGTAAACTGATTAGTGTTAGTGATGCAAGGAGAGGTAACGGAATTCCTAAAAAGGCTTTAATAAAAACTATAAATAAATATTTAAATATTCAACTTAACTAAACATATGACCTTTCGTAGATTTCAATATTGATAAAAATATCCATATAGCCGGCCTAAAGAGTAGGGGCTTAGAACTTTATTGTTGTTTTTATTATTGTATGGCACTAGCATAACACCCAAAATATAAACAATGAAAAAGAATTTCCCAACTTCAAGATTGCCAGAAGAGTGGCAGTCGTTTCCAATTTTCAACATATTTCCTATTCAACATCATATCCAATACACTTTTAGTATAATCCGGTCGATCTACTGCCCGTAGTTCAAACTTTAAACAGGAAGGATTTACTTTGAAACAGAGAATTGAAGGCTGCTGATAGTACCAAATGGTAGGAAGGGAAGTAAGTACCAGAAAGTAATTTGTTGCAAAATCATGTTCTCGTAATTTAATTCCTTGAATCCAGGGAGAAATGTAGGTTAACTGTGGAGCAAGATAATAAAGAAACTCAAGAATAACACTTCTGTAAACTGTAACTTTCCAAACTTCTAACTACAGTCAATGATGGAATCAAGGATCAAAATATTCATAACTAAAGCTAATTGAATAGCTTTTAGAATTTAGAAATTCGTAATATGTTTTATTCTGGGTCCACAAGTGTGATTGTCATCCTCGACAGAAAATAAAGATCTCAGGTAAATGATCTCAGACTCTCCTTGACAGAAAATAAAGATTGCCATCAGGCAAATGATCTCAGACTCTCTTTGACCACTCATTCTCTGCATTGTGGTATATTTCAGAAACCATAATCTCTTAAATCTGACAGATCTTTTAGCAATCTAAACATCCCAAGGATTTCTCACCTCCAAGGGTTTTCACATATGATAATCCAATTCCTTAACTTTATAGGTTTGTCGGTGTTATTTATGTTTGAGTCAATTCTGATAGAAATAATAGAAGATAAGAACAATATAATATAAGAAGCTTTATTATAGAAATGAAATAGCTTTAGCTTAAATCTATTAACATGTTCCCTCTCCTATTTATACAGATTAGGAGGAAGGATTTCCCTCAACAGAATAAACAGAATAAAGAGATTTCCTCATCTAATTGGGGAAATCTTATCCTCTATCAAGTTGGGGAAATCTTATCTTCTATCATTGGGGAAATCTTATCTTCTATCATGCCCCCGCAAGATGGTGCTCCTGACAAGGATACCAATCTTGGATCGATGCAAAGAATGGTTTACAAGCGAGAGGCTTCATGAGTAAGATAAGTGTAGATCGTTGCTGCTGCTGTGATTGTTGTTGTTGTGATGGCACAGGCGTTCCCTTCATTCTCCTTAAGTCCGCCGAATGTTGGCAGATCAACGAAGACTACCGCGGTGAGGAAGATGAGGATTGACCACGGAGCCTCTTAGGAATGTAACGACGTTGGTCGC